AGACATGAGTTTGAGCAAGCTCCAGGAGATGGTGAAGTATAGGGAAGCCTGGAGTGCTGTAGTCCATGGGTTTGCAAGGAGTTGGACTTGACTTAGCAACTCAACATCAATAATGGTCAGACTGCAGAGACTTTTCAAAGTGTTCTGAAGTCTCTAGCATTGCTCTGAAGTTACTTGTTGCCCATGTCATCACTTGAAGTGGTGGATTTCTCCACACTCTCTTGGTCCTGCACTGGCTAATTTTGATTCAGTTCCTCTTTTCTCCAATGACACTTGTTACATGATGTTGGTCTTTTAGCTTTCTTAGGTAAGAGTTTTTTGAGAGGCTCTTTTCTGCAAATTCCCTGAATGTGTTTTTTGACCTCTGTAGTTGTTTTGGGAACCTGAAGGGACAACAGTGTGAGCACAGATGGACATTGGTTTGGGGTAATTGTTGGGGAATGAATGGGAACTAAGGCTTCATGAGCAGGGATGTGGGCTGAGGATGGCTCTGGCAGGCAAGAACAGGGAAGAGGTCTTGGAGAGGTGTCAATGAGGAAGAGGAGGAGGATCTTGGGTGTGGTCATCTCACCTTGACCTTGCTTCTGGACTTGTGTTGACAGAGCATCTTCTTCCTCATTTTGATGCTTGGGATCAGTTATTTCATACCTATGCTAAGGAATTGTGGTCTCCTGGTCACTTTCCCTGTGTCGAAATTTCCTAGCAGTCGACTTCAGGCCTCCTGACTGGCCTGTATACACCACTCCCCAGGATAAAAAAGGCCACACTCTTTAGGTTTGTTTGATCAAGGGTAGCCCTGGGGAAGAATCTTAAGACATGACAAAGAACCATCCTGACATATCCATGGGGACTTGCGGGAAGAAGTGAAAAGGCCAAGATACTTTGGTTGGAGAAAGGGGGCATTTCTTTAGTACCTCTAAAGAACCTTCTCAAACTGACTGACCACTGCTTCCTACCATCCCACATTCAATGCTTGTGGACACATGGCAGGGAACAGGCCTTACCATCAAGCCTTTCCCCATGGCCAGCCATTTCAGTGGTTCAGTGTTATCTCTCACCCTTTACCACAAACTGATTTTTGTATGTTCTTCCAAAAAATCCCTTCAAGGTAAAATGGATGTATTTAAGGTCCCTCAGAGATGTGAATCATCTCACTTCCCTTCTGAAAATTTCTCTTATATACCTTGAACACCACTCACTTCTTGGCTACCACCAAAGAAACTTTCCATCCCACTTCCTCTTCTGAGGACCCATATAGCTCTCCTCAGTTTTCTACTTTCCACATTGAAATCACTGCCTTAAGTCTGTTTTTAGTATGCAGATTTTCCCAACTGGGCATCTTAGTTTTGTTTCAAATCTGAGAGGGAGGTCAGCACACCTCACAAGTCATAGTACCCAGATGAGTTTTAACAGGCTAAGGCGAGTAAGGTAGATACTAACCTGCCAGATATTGTGCTGGATGTCTGAATGTACAAAACTGCATTCTTCCTTGTCCACCACCTCCTCAGGGAACTTGGAGATTCAGAGTCCTAGCCTGAACGGTGCAGACTCAGGTCCACAAAGGGCAGAAAGTCAAGGCTCTGCTGAAATCAGCAAAGGTAGGAGTCACAGGCCTTGACAGATATGAAAGTAAGTAAGGGCCCTGAAGGAGAGCCCTGAGGGAATCCTGGATCCCAGAAGAGAGTTGGCCCTGTGAGGCCTTGGGGTGGGATGACCACTTGCAGCACTTTCTGACATCCGAGTCTCAGAAAGACTGGGGACCTGGTGTAAGGGGTGGTGGCTCAGAGGGGACGATAAGAGAATCCCAGGTCTTGCTGGTAGTCAAGGTGAGGACCCTGAGGGAGGACTGAGGGGATCTTGGACCTCAAACAGAGGGACCCCCCCTCCCCCGCCAGATTCCTACCCTTGCTGTCAGCCCTGCAAGGACCCGGAGCTGGATGAGCACAGTAGGCCTGTTCTGAATTTTTGACATCCCAGTCTTAGAGAGACTGAGGACTGGGTGAAAGGGGCAGGGCTGCAGGTGGGCAGAGGGGAGAATCTCAGGTTCTCTCAGGGGTAAAGGTGAGGACCCTGAGGGAGGATTGAGAGGCCCTGGACCCCAGAACAGAGGCGATCCCTGGAATGCTTTAAGGCAGGATGACCCCATGTAGCATTTCCTGACATCTGGGTCTCAGGGAAACTGGGGACTTGGTGAAAGGGGCGGGGCCTGAGGTCCACAGAGGGGAGAATCCCAGGTCCCGCCTGAAATCAAGGTGAAGACTCTGAGGACGAACTCAGGGGACCCTGCGAGAACAGAGAAGGCTCTGAGAGGCCCTGGTGTGGGATGTGCACAGGCAGCATTTCCTGACATCTGGTCCCGGAGGGACCAGGAATCTAGCTTAAGTATCGGGTCCTCGGTTGGAGAGAGGGGAGGATCCTAACAGGAGTCAAGGTGAGGCCCCTGAGGGAGGATTGAGGGGATCTTGGACCCTAGAACACGGATGGAGGGTGAAGTGTCCCAGAGAAACCTGCCCCTGCCCTCAGCTGTGGTCAGCCGCACGGGGCGCCATGAGCCTGTGGCAGCCTGTGCTGACTTCCTCATCCAGGTCTTGGAGAGCAGGGGTGACCTGTGAAAACGGTCGCGGCCACGGGAGGGCAGAGGCGGAATCATAGATCCTTCGTGGACTAAGGTGAGGCTCCTAAGGGAGGACTGAGGGGACCCTGCGAGAACAGAGAAGGCTCTGAGAGGCCCTGGTGTGGGATGTGCACAGGCAGCATTTCCTGACATCTGGTCCCGGAGGGACCAGGAATCTAGCTTAAGTATCGGGTCCTCGGTTGGAGAGAGGGGAGGATCCTAACAGGAGTCAAGGTGAGGCCCCTGAGGGAGGATTGAGGGGATCTTGGACCCTAGAACACGGATGGAGGGTGAAGTGTCCCAGAGAAACCTGCCCCTGCCCTCAGCTGTGGTCAGCCGCACGGGGCGCCATGAGCCTGTGGCAGCCTGTGCTGACTTCCTCATCCAGGTCTTGGAGAGCAGGGGTGACCTGTGAAAACGGTCGCGGCCACGGGAGGGCAGAGGCGGAATCATAGATCCTTCGTGGACTAAGGTGAGGCTCCTAAGGGAGGACTGAGGGGACCCTGCGAGAACAGAGAAGGCTCTGAGAGGCCCTGGCGTGGGATGTGCACAGGCAGCATTTTCTGACATCCAGGTCTCAGAAACACTGGGGACCTGAGATAAAGGGCGGGGGGCTTAGGTGGGCAAAAAGAAAAATCCGAGGTGCTGTGGGGAGTCAAGGTGGGAACTCTGAGGGAGGACTAAGGGGAACTTGGGCTCCAGATCGGATTGGGCTCTGGGAAGCCCTGGGGCGGGATGAAAACAGGTATCATTTCCTGACATCCGGGTGTCAGAGAGACTGGGAACCTGGTGAAAGGGGCGAGGCCTCAGTGGGGAGAGGGGAGAACCCTAAGTCCTAACAGGAGTCAAGGGAAGGAGTCAAACCCCTGAGGGAAGACTGAGGGGAACTTGGACCCCACTACAGATGGGGACTGCACAGATTTCCAGCCCTGCTGACAGCCCTGGAAGCCCCAGGGGCTGGATGAGCACATTAGGCCTGTACTTAACTTATGCATTGGGGTCTGAGAGAGACTGGGAACCCTGAACCCCAGAAAAGAGGGAATCTCACAAAAACATGCCCCTACTGTCAACCCCAAAAGGCCCCAGATGGGATGGGGAAGGGGTTGCAAATGTGCTGTTTCTTGACTTCCTGCTTGGTCACCTAAGGTGAGGTATCAGCATATGGCATTGTACTCAACTGCACAGAGCTAGGAGGCTCAGGCTTTGTCAAGAGTAATGGTGAGGATTTTGAGAGAGGACTGGCTGAACTCATGTGAAAATGTACTAAATCCCACCTATCCCTGTCCTTTCTGTTGGCCACAGGAGGACCTGAAGCAGTTTGACTGCATGTGGTGCCCTCTCATTTCTGTCTTTGTTTTCACATAAAGGTGAGACACTTCACTTAAGAAAGGTGCACTGAGAAGGAAGAAGAAAGAAGGAAGGAAGGAAGAAGAAGAAGGAAACGCTGCCAGGCATTAAGGTGAGGACTGAGCAGACCTCCTCTCCAATCCCAGGACAGATGGGCCCCACAGTATTCAGCCACCCCTTCCTCTTCCCCCTGGGGAGGCCCTGGGCAGGCATAGTTAGATGTGAAGCCCCATAACTTCCTTCTGTTCACTCTAGGGATCCTATTTTGAGAGTTTTGTCTCAGGCCTGCAGTGAGGAGAGCCCACATCCTGCCAGGGCAAAGGTGAGAGCCCTGAGTGAGCACAAATGGGATCACCCATCCCAGAAGAGTGAGAACCTCACAGAGTCCACCCTCCTACCAGCACCAAGGGGCCCAGAACCGTGCCACAGTTTACAGCCGAGGTGCCCCCTTGTTTCCTCTCACAGGGGCTCCAGGAACCAGGAAGTGAAAGCCCAGGTCTGAGGCTCAAGTCACAGATCTCAGGTCACAGAGCAGAGGATGTCCAGGCAGCACAAGGAGTAAAGGTGAGGTGAGGTGCCTGCCCTGAGTGTGCACCAGGCACGGACTCCCCACCACAGAACAGACAGGACCCCACAAGACCCAAATCCCTTCCCCCTTCATCCCCGGAACCTTGGGCTGTGCTGTCTGCACCCTGGGGAGCCACCTCACGTCCTCGTTCAGGTAGCCAGGGGTCAGGCCACTGAGGAGGAGCTCCTTTGTGAGGCCCGAGAGCACCCCTTGAGAGGAGACCTGTCAGTGGCCTGAGTCAGACCGCCCAGGGTGGATTTCTCAGTCGAGGCCGCTCACACCCCCTCTCTCCCCCAGGCCTGCGGATCCAGTTCTGCACTGTCTGTCCGTACTCTTGCTACCAGGAGTCATTATGCCTCCACCTCCAAAGCGTTGGTGTTACATGAAGTGTTGGCGCTGCATACTTAAGGAAAACGTTCAGTCCCAGAGCAATAAATGGGGACTTTGGAGTGCACAAGTTCCTGAGTGTGAGGAGGAGAGGGAGCATACCTCATCCTCCTCGTCCTCCTCCTCCTCCTCCTCTTCCTCCTCCTCCTCTCCTCCTCCTCCTCCTCCTCTCCCCACCCCACCTCCTCCTCCTCTTTTCTGACCCCAGGCACCATAATTGAGGTTCCTGGTATTGCTGGGACACCAAGTCCTTTCCAGGGTTCTCAGAGAGTTTGGACCTTGCCCACTGCCCTAGCAACCACTCCACCAATCATATCAGATCAGGGCTCTGGCAGTAGAAAAAGAAAGAGGCCAAGCACTCCGCGGGCCCTGCCAGACGGTGGGCACTTGCTCAGAGGTGCTATAGATGATAAGGTGGGGGATCTGGTGTCATTCTTGCTCCTCAGATATCACAGAAAGGAGGTGGCCACAAAGGCAGATATGCTTAGTGTTGTCAGAGATTACCAAGACTTTTTCCCTATGATCCTCAGCCAAGCTGCTGAGTGCATGGAGCTGGTCTTTGGTATTGATGTGAAGGCGTTGGACTCCACAGGTCTTTGCTATGTCTTGGTCAACACCTTGGGTCTCACCTACAATGATTTGTTGGGTGGTGATGAGGAGAGCATGCCCATGGCTGGCCTCCTTGTAAATACCTTGAGTATAATCTTCATAGATGGCAACTGTGCCGCTGAGGAAACGGTCTGGGAAATGCTGGGTATCATGGGGCTGTATGCTGGTATGAACCATTTCATCTATGGGGACCCCAGGGAGCTGCTGACCCAAGTGTGGGTGCAAGCAGGGTACCTGGAACACCGGCAGGTGCCCAATAGTGATCCTGCCCGCTACGAGTTCCTATGGGGTCCCCGGACGTATGCAGAGACCACTAAGATGAAAGTCTTAGAGTTTTTGGCCAGAGTCCATGGTACTACCCCCAGTGCTTTCCCCGGCTTGTATGAAGATGCTTTGCAAAGTGAAAAAACGGGAACCCAAACCAGAGTTGTGACCAGGGCCAGGGCCAGGGCTGGGATTTGTGCCAGGACCAGGGCCTATTCCAGGGGCACATCCAACAGCTCCTCTTACACCAACTGAAGTGGAGGCAAATGTTTCATTCTGTTTGATGAGAACAGTCACTTACAAAATGGGGCTTGGGAGTATTGAATATATTGTATCTTTGTGTTCCTGCTGTGTATGGGTGATTTGGAGATTTTTTTTTTCTTTTTGGTACTTTTCAAATGCTGTTCCTATTAACAAAAGGCTTAATTAACTTCAAGTTCTAAGTTTACAAATGACATTCATCAGAAATGTATTGCTGTTTATCTGGTTTAAGAAGTGAACATTTTACCTATTTTGTAGCTACAGTTATTGTCATAAACCTGTATAAGTGATGGTAAACTCCTTTAGGTTTTGCTTGTTTGGAGCATTTTTTATCTATCTTTTTCTGAATGATAACTTTGTAGGGTAACGAGCATATTGTTGGTTGGAAGTTTTTTCTTTTAGCCCTTTGAATATATCGTGCCCTTCTCTTGGCTGCAAAATTTTGGCTGAAAAGTCTGCTGATGCTCTTATGGGGTCTCCTTCAAATGTACCAAATTGTTTTTCTCTTGCTGCTTTTAAGATTTTCTGCATTTTGCTATTTTGTGAAACAAATTGGGAAACCTTTCATTATATTTTGTGATCTGGAATAAGAAAACATAGCATTGGAAAATTACTTTCCTTGAAAATGTGGAAATAAATACAAGAGAAAAGTGAAAAATAGTTAATTTTTGCCTTCCGTTATCCCTTTTCTTGTGTTCTTCTGTAAAATTAAAAGATACGTACCTGGATATGCTTTGCTTATTCAAGAATATATGCAGTATTAAATCTAAATAAACAAGATTCCCTGTTCACTGGCTCTGTTATTCCCCAATCATTAATTAGAGACTGACTCTTTGAAAGGCCCTGAGAAGTAGGGGGACACCAAGATAAGGGAGATACACCCCCTAGCTATAAAATTGTAGAGTCCAAGAGCAACAGTCACATCAGGAAGATAATGAGCTATTCTCTAAATACTAAGGGTTAAGGTCTAAGTATTGAGTTAGCCTAAAAGGTCGTATTGTACAGCCCGTGGGGTCGCAAAGAGTCAGACATGACTGAGCGACTTTCACTTTCAAAAAGTCATATGGATTTTCCCATAAGCCGGCATGGAAAAACTCGAACTAACTTTTTGGCCCACCAGATACTAAATAACCAGTAAAAGAAAGGAAGAGGAGGTGAGGATTATGGATGTGTAACTGCCCTGAGTAAGTGTAACTGCCCTGAGTCAGGGCAGTTTGGAGCTTTGGGAAACTTCAGTTCTGGAGGAGCTAGGGGTGATGAAGCTGGGTGGTGGCCGTGACCAGACTCACGGTGTGTCTTCGAGGTGAGAGGAAAACCTCGAATAGAAAACTGCACTTAGCAGTTACCTTCGGGTCATTGAAAAACTAGATAAGAATCTCCTCCTGGAGCAGGTAAGGAAGGATCCCTGCACTCTTGTCTCAGTACTGTGGAGTACAGTACATAGAGTAGATGCTTTATACTCATCATCTGTAAGAATTTCCTAAGAAATATGGTGATATGACTTTGAAGTGGTGCCCAGAAGCCTCTCAAGGGACACTCTTTTCTCTGGCCATGGAAAGCCAGAACGCACTGTATTTTAAAAACATTTTAATTAGATGATCTTGAGTGTCATTTGGACAGCTCTAAGCAAGAGCTAGATGTTGGTGGGGTAGAGTGAATGGAAGACATCATTTGGATGGAAAAGCAGCTGGGGCGAGGGGGAAGAATAGAGTTGGTCTTTGACTCAAATTCTAGGAACTGTGAGTTGCATCCAGCTGAGGGAGACTCCCCCACCCCAAATTAAATAACATCTTCTAGGAGGGCAACTGTACTGAGTTTTGTTTACAAAGCAATATTGTTGACTGATGTGTTATTCTTCGTTCTATTGCTTTGCATATTCTCTGAGATCTGAAAAATAAAAAGCAAACAAGGTTCTCAGAAGAGGGGGTAGTATGGTTTGTGGGTAAAATAATACTAGAAGTGACTGCCAGTCATCAAAGTTCCAATATATGATAGGCACTGTGTGAGATGCTTTACATACACTGCCCACATCCCTGAAGCCCTACAAAACAGAGCTTATTGAGCCCACTTGCTTCACAGGTGAAGAAGCCAACACCATGGGACTTGGGCATCTTCCCAGCATCACGTGTTACTAGGAGACAGGATAGGGACTAGATCCTGGCCTGAATTCCTCTTGAGCCCATGCTGTTCCCACCTACCCCAGCCCGTGGCCAACCTTCTGACTTGTAATTCGATTCTGTTCTCTCTACTACACGATGTCTCTGAGGTGACAAGGATGTTGTGTCTAAGGTACTAAAAGCCGGCCTAAAGAAGAAAGATGAAAATGAGATTTAAATGAAATTTGAGTACTGTCTGTGGGCTTTATTAACCTGGGGTCCACCCACTTGAGTCCCAGAGTTCCTTGAGAACTGACTCTGCCTGGGTCCTAGCATTTTTTTTCAGACCCAGAACTTTCCCAAATTATAGCACCCTTTCCCTGGTCTTCCTCTGTATGCTCTCCTGTCTAACTCTCAAACCTAGCCTGCTAACCAGCTTGTCATTGGTCTCCATTGGAAGTCCAGAATCACCTACTTTCCCCTAACATAGAGCATTAGTCCTCTGGCTGTCCCATGACTCATCCTAGAAGGCCTATGATATCAACAGCCCGATTGATGTAAAAATTCACCTGGGGACAGCTGCTTTAAGACACCTGGTCACCAGCCCTGGTATCTCTAACACAGTCTCCAAGTGTTTTCTAAATGGGGTGGTAAGAGCAGTATAATTTGGCACATCATCTATTGGTTCCTGGAACATAACCCTAAAGATAGAGGGTTATTGAAACCACCATGGTATTTTAAATAGGATTTCCATGAGGTGTCTTATTTTAAATTCACTGCTGATCAAATACCTAATTTATGTAAGTGCTAAAAAACCAGAGACTCTCTCAGTTGTAGATGAGGAAAGATGACAGAAGTCATTGTGGAGCAAACTTCTAAAGCTGAATTCCTAAATCCCTGGAGTTTCCTAGGAGTTAAGAATGGTTCCTTGGAAGACATGTCAGCTCTGATGAAAAATAGAATAATTACCCATCCTCCCTCTTGCAATACATGCCCTCAGGAAAGTCCCAGCTTTCAATGTGCCTCATGGCACCTACCCAGGTACTCAGGCAAGTTCAGTCACGTGGAGGGTGAGCAGAGACTCAAAGGGTTAGAAGTATGAGCTTGCATTAAGAGGAAGAAGTGCATTTTCAGTTTTATGAGATTATAGAGGTTGTTGCAAAGAAAAGTGCAGAAAGGGGCCACTGAATGAAGAAAGTGAAGTCTCCCTGCTGAGATTTACAGTACCATTTGACAATTAGATGTGATCCTGTATTTGAAAGCATCCGTCACATAGTAGATGCTTGAAAATTTCAGAGCCTTTCAAGACAGATCTGACCTCAGAAACTCCTCCAAGCATTGAAGATGGTTTTCATCTCAGCAAATCATAATAGTTTTTTCTTGAGCATCTACTTTGTAACGGTACATGGGAGAGGCTCCACTGCCCGTCCACATCTTGTCTTGCTCACCTTTCTGGACACGAGGGACACTATGCTGACAATCTGCTTGTAGTTAAGAGGGGTCGTGGCAACCCTTGGCCACTGAGACACAAGCAGGTGTTTACTGTCACCTGGAGGCACTTGAGAAGCAGGAGGCTGGTTCCACACACTCTCCCTCGATTCACCAGCAAACATGGTGATCCAGTGTTGAGGTGCTGAAACCACAAGACAGAAGCAGCCTGGATCCCTGGGCCCCCTAGAGCTGAGGGCCCCTGCTAAACCACACGAGAATTTACCTGCACAAAAACACACTGTTTTGTTAGTCTTTCAAACGTCAAGGTTTGCCTGTTTCATCAGGTTGCAATAACTTTAACAGACACAGCTACTATTTCTGTTGTTAGGTTTATATAAATATTTTAATTGCAGTGGTAGTAGTGTATATGTTCCTGTTGCAAAAATTTCTAAAGCTACAGAAAAATCACAGAATCCCCTTTACAAAATTTTTTGCATGATTCAGCCTTCTACTCAGAGGTCACCACAATTAACAATGTAGTGTGAGTTGCTTTAAAGTGGACTATGGGCTTTTTCATAGATATGCATTTTCTATCCTATAAAATATATTGATTTGATTTGACATACATAGATTATGATGCACATATTGATGTGCCACTAGCCTTTGTCCCTGAATTAAAAAGATGCAGGATCTTCCCATGACAGCATATACAGCTCCACCTCACTTTTGAAACTACCTCTTGGAATGCTGAGGTATGTATGCATCATAATTAAACATTCATAAGTTGCTTTTCTTTTGTTGTATGATAAATAAAATGAAATTAACATCTTAGAATTCTTGAGTAAATGTGGACATTTTCTTTTAAGATATACATACTAATGGGTTTCCCTCATAGCTCAGTTGGTAAAGAATCCACCTGCAATGCCGGAGACCTTGGTTCGATTCCTGGGTTGGGAAGATCCCCTGTAGAAGGGATAGGCTACCCACTCCAGTATTCTTGGGCTTCCCTGGTGGCTCAGCTGGTAAAGAATCCACCTGCAGTGAAGGAGCCCTGGGTTCGATCCCATGGAGAAGGGAAAGGCTATCCACTCCAGTGTTCTGGCCTGGAGAATCCCATGGACTGTATAGGCCAGGGGGTCACAAAGAGTTGGACACAACTGAGCGACTTTCATTTTCATGCATACTAATATAGAAGTTGGGTTAATGTGGAAAGAGTGAGGATAATTTAACATTTTATAAATATTTCTGAATTTTTTTTCTCAAAACTGCTCTACCTCTAAAACTGTCAGAAAATAAATTTGTGCTAAGTCATGATAATGTCGGTAATTTATTTCAGTGGTAAGAGGAACCAAATACCATCTATTAAAACTGTATAGCTTAATCCCCTTTAAGAACACAGTTGAAGTGGTTCCTGTAAGAGCTAACTGGGACATAGTTAAGTTATTTGAAAACAGCAAACAGTTGGACATGACTTAGCAACTGAACAACAATAGCAACAAAGATCCTTTTGGGTATTGATTTAAGCTTTGTTAGGTGAGATGAGAGCAGTGTTCATAACCTATGGTCAGTATTTCTTCACTTCTAAGGTAAAATCCTTTTAAGTACTCTTAGCAGTGCACAATGAATTAGGAGCTTTTCTATTCTGACCATTGGGAACAAGAATGGTCCCCAACCCTATGAGAGCTATCTAGCCACCATGGCCCCCCTGATCTCCCAGCTCCATCTTCTCAACACAAGAAGATAATCAGGCTCCCCACTGTGCACTATGGTACTCAGTCTCTCTCCAGGATGTAAGTTGTAGGACACGCCTCATTTGTTTTTTAATCAGAAATCACCATCCTTTGTTGCCTAATTCCAATCATTTGTCAAGTTTTGTCTCATCTATTTCATGCAGATATTTTTTAGTTGTTTCAGGTAGGTGTATAAATCTGGTTCCCACTTCATCTTGGCCAGAAGCAGAAGTTCTATATGCTGATTTTAAAACTCAAATTATCTATGCATAACAAATGTCCCAATATATCAAACTAATTCAGAATAAAGCCAGGATTGGAAGACTGTTGGACACACATACACGCAGGCATACACACGTCTATATATTCATGTAGACATACACAAAACTGAGAGTATATATAAAAATAGCAATAATACTCTTCTCTTGCTAACAGAAATATAATTTATTTACTTATTTATGCTTGCAATATTTTCTAACCCTCTGAAACACATATGAATGCCCTTCAT